ACGTCTCATGTAATTAGATCCTGAAGCTGATAATTGAACACTTGAAGCAAAAGACAGAAATCATCAGAAACCAAATTTAGGAAATTGTGATTATGAAAATTGATACTACGAGCCAAGAGGAAAGGTTATCAGAACAAGAGCGCCCGGTCCAACTTGAAAGATTGAGTTGTTTTTGAGAATGTACCGTTCGATTTGAACACTCTTTGCTCCAGCATCTGCGAATTCTTCGACAAGTGTCTTCAAATCGAAGTTAAACCCTGTGATATCAAGGCATGCCGACACATCAATGAAAGCAATTAGTTCTATCCAGACACTGTGATAGCTGAGTTTGCTTATTTTGACACAAAGCGCAACATATCATCGCTGTCAACTTCTTGGACATACCGAAAACCTAAAGGCTACCAAAAATCATCCATATTTATCCGTGAACGCTTACCAAAGCGTGATGCCGATCGATATCCAGAGAAAAGCAAACGATATGATTTTTTATGACAATAATTATTAACTGTCAAATAAAAATTTTCTGCGAGTATGGCAAAAACAAGCCAATATGAGTCTCAGTAAACATCGAAAGAGCCTTAAAAAATCTGAAAAACCGTGAATAAAAAAGAACTTCAAATGTTTAAATTCAGAGACTGAAGGATGAGTCAAAGCCGGTGGCAAATGATAAACACAAGTAGATCCTAGTAAGATTAGGAGAGGCAAGTGACCAAGAACTATCGGGAATGTTAGAATTTGAGCTGGCTAAGTACACCTCCAACGGACAGAAAAAACAGATAATCAATTCAACCCTTACAATTGCTAAAAAGGTTGAAAATATTTAAACTCAATTGTCTTCTGTTTTTTTAACTGAGACTTGGCTTTGTGATAGAGATTACGTAATTTCTTATAATATTGAGACGTACTACCCTGTAGGTGTGAAAATGGAGAAAGCAGCGAAGGCGGAGTCGCCATCTATGTAAGCAAAAACCTCAAGTTTTCCAAAAATCTACATTGGTAGGAGATTTTAGCATAGATGTCAATCGAGTAGATATGAAAAGTCTGGTAGCTGACAAAACTTGTGTCTAAATGAAAAGATGTTTAGCGCATTGCTTGCTTCCTGAAAATCAATGTGCCCTTCTGTTAGAACTACTCATTAATTTGAGCTGGTCAAGTATCTTAGGTGAACTAAACAAAGCGATGTTAGATATGGAGAAAATAAATAGTCCAAGAAAAAAGATGCGCTTTTAAGACTTTGCAACAAGAAGCAAATTAAAACACCCTTGGATTATAAAAGTCTGGAAAGCGAAATTTGAAATTGAATATGGCTCTATAAGGTGTTCATAAGAATGACATTAGTAGTAAAATTTGATGGAAATGAAAACAAGTAAGAGCTTTTTTGTTTCTTTAAACAATTTCTATACGGTAATCAGAATCAACTTAGTAAGATCGAAGAAAGCGAGAAATTTGCTATCGAAGTCAACGGTTTTGTTCTGTACGGTGGGTGCTTCGCTTGCAGTTTGGTTTGATCCTCCAGTCATTGAACATTGAATAGTGAAAATAGAAAAATGATCAGTCCTTCCAAAGTGTCATGCTTAATGAACAGAAAGTTTATCTGAATAATCTGGAATCAGAAATTGTAAACTATAATCTGGAATCAGAAATTGTAAACTAGTCTTTTTTAAAGGTTACTGTTAAAGATTTAATCAACTGATGTTTGGTAGCCAGTTTGCTACCGTGATCGACATAAATGTATATGAGTTCTATAAACCCGTCATTCATTATGGTTTCAATTTATGTGTGTAATAACGAAAAAAAGCTCAAATGTCAAAATGCAAAAAAGAATTATTAGAGTAGTTTTCTTTAAACTTCGCTGTTAACGCGTTTATAAAATGATATTTGATAATCAGTTTGCTATTGTGATTGAGCTAGGCTGTTAACGCGTTTATGAATTGATGTTTGATTATCAGTTTGCTATTGTGATTGAGCTACATTTATTGGAGCACTTAAAAGAGATCACTATACCATTAACTGGAGTGAATAAACTCAAATTTATCCACATCATCTAAATCTTCGATCATCATTTAGAGAAGCTAAGCTTCAATACTTTAGAGTCGCAGCTATTAATTAAAAATTTCAATTCAGATTGACAAAATGCATAAAAATGATATGACTTTTATTGAGAATGTTGATGATATCCAAATTAAGTACCAATTTAACAACCTTTCTCACAAATTTTTCTATAGTTATGAACTGAATAATCAAAAAATGCTTGATATCTTTTTTGACCCGCTCATTAATTTTCTATGTTGATGTGGTCTTAAACCTTTTGCATCATTTCCTAAAGTCTACATTTTTATAAACTAAACACTTAATCTCAGTTCTGTTCATGCTGCGAGACGATTAATTTCGGTCTCTGTTGGTTTGGCCCCTGCCCCTATATAAGCAACCTTGCAGCTTATTTGGTGTATACTGCAGTACGTAGAAGCATGAACGTGTTAAAAGAACTGTTGACTAAATGTAAGGAATGATTTTGCATTTAGATTATCAGCAGCATTTCCGATTTTTTTACTCAATTTTATTCTGTAAATTTTGTGGAAATTTAAAAAAACTTGAAATATTAGATATGGATGTTTATTGTGCACTACTTTTAAGAAGTCAAAACTCGATTAATTGCTTGTTCCTCTTAAGCCAACATCTTTAGGGGATTGCGCCTAGCGTTGGACCTGGGCGGATAATTTTTTTTTGATTGTCCAAAAAGTTGATGCGTATGTCATTGATAATGTCGGCTGGAGTTTTTAATTCAATTAAATTAAAATGTTGTCTAAGTTAGCAGATTTTTCAATGACGGCCAAAATTTTATAAATGATCACGTTTTTTTTGCAACGAAACAGTCTTATTAATTGATAGTTTAGTGCTATTTTAGGTGTTGGGAAGACGCACGCACTGAAGATTATTAGAGACACAATGTTCAAAGAAGGAGAGAAGACTTGGTTTTTTGACTACATAAACGCACCTCTTGATTTTCCTTACCAGGATGACGAGAAAGACCTCAGGGATTATAGAGAAAAACTTCTGGGCAGAATCAAGAGGGCTGTGGAAAAATGTGATCGTGCGCTGATTATTTTGGATGAGACGCACCTGATGAACGTGAAACTCCTGGAAAGTGCGAGACCGTTTTTTGATAGTAATGAACAAGTAAATGGAGTTGACTGTCGAAAGGCCACTTTTATTCTTGTTACTAACACCGGATTCGACGGTCTGGTTGATATGGCTTATCAATATGACCAAAAGGTAATACTTATTACATTAACATCGGCCGGTTTTATTACCACAAGTGTTTTTACGTGTGTACCAAAATTATAACATTTGCAAACTCGTTTTGAGTTTCCGTTAACTGTCGAACAAAGTAGCCCCGAAAAATTTGACCGTTGAGAAACAAAAGCTAATGCATCTGAAACCCAGAAGCACCAAAAAATCAGTATAATTTTTTTAAAATTTATGCTAGAAGTTACTTCTGTTGAAACTCGCTCACAAGTTCATTGTCCTTTTTTTCAGGGTCTGAGTGCCCATGACATACCCACCCTGGAAGTTGAGACGGTTCTGAAGGCTATCGCATTCGCAGACAAACAGGGCTCATTTTACAAGAGCCTTATATTGGCCCATCACCTGATAGACTTTTTCGTGCCCTTCTTCCCGCTCGACAAAAATCACGTGAAGTGCTGTATCCGGAATGAAGTTGAAAGACGATTTGGTTTTTGCCCGAAAGAATCTATCGTGGAAAGCATATTGAACACCATAAAGTTCGTTCCTGATTACGACCCAAAGTTTGCAGATGTAGGATGCAAAAGTGTTCCCAGAGCCATAGCCATGCACGACTTTTCGCACAGCGCGACTTTTCGCGCAGACTTGTGAAGTGCGATCTTTTAACTCTAATCAATAAGTCAACGAGGTGCTAAGCTTTACTTTTTCCTTATCAACACTAGCTCCATGTATGATAAGATAAGTAGATTACAAGTTTACACCACAAATATCACTAGATTTTCTGGCATTTTCATCTATTTCATCAAATTTTGGATTTTCTCAACCTCAGTTTTTTTTTGTCGTGGGCTTCTTTTCTAAATTTTGAAGAAGAAAAATTCGAAAGAGTTTTTGTTTTCGATTTCTCATTAGATGCAATTGTTTTTTTAGGAAATTTAGGCCCTTTCAATCAACGTTTTTTGAAGCTGAAAAAGCAATTTGAAAATGGAAGGGAAACAAATAATGTGATTTGCAAAATTCTCTCTTTCGCTCTATGAACTTCTCAAACTAGAAGTTTATTTAACAAAAAAAAACTTTTTACTTGTGTTTTTAACTACCTTATCCAAACTATGAAGGTCGTTTTACTTAAGGCCAGAGTTTCTGTGCAACTTGCTGCATGCTGTATGTGATTTAGAAACATGTTTAAAAATTCCGGCGTTCGAATTTCCAGATCCTAAATATTTAGGAGAAATTCAGATTACAAAGTAAGATCTCGTTTGAACTCTATTTCACTTTACCGGTATGACTGCTCAAACTAACAGAGTTCATCGAGAAAATTTTTTTCTCTATCAACTCTTATCGGATACAGGATTAGAACCGAGTATTGTTTGTGTTTTTGTGCTTCAAATCGTTGAGCTGACAGTTTTCTAATATAAAAGGGATCTATATTGTCAGCTAAAGGTTTTGCAGCACATTTTAATTTATTTTTAACGCACAAAAAAAATTCAATGTCAGAAAACATTTTTCAAATCTTTTGTAAAAAAATCATCCCAAACTGGAAAAATTTTCACCATAGGCAAGTAATTTATTCATGAGAAATAAAAAAAAATTTGCAACTGAACAGCTTTGACTTGTTGCAACATTGGTTTTGATTTGAGTTGAAACATCAACCTTGAATCAAAATACTGAATTAGAAAAACAAATGTAACAAAAAAGCAATTTGGATTTGTTTAAACTAATTTTTAAAAATTTCTTTCCCCTGTTTTGGGTTAATTCTTGAGATAAACAGAAATTTAAAAATATCGTTGAGCTCAAAAAGATACATTCACTTCATTTCTGATCATGACCTTGTTATAGTGGACTTAAAATCATCGTAATAGTTTTGTTCATGCAGGAAAAATTGCAACTTCTTTGACCCGTGGCTGTGTATTCGGTCCACGTAATTCGTTGTCAGCTGCAAAGTTTTTCAACCACTTCTTAAAACGTTTTTCGGTCTTTTTAAAACTATCAAATTTTTCATCACTATAAGTTCTTTATGGCTATTTGGACAATTCGGAGCTTTGTGACTTTTGAGCTAGCTGCATCCGGAAAAATATCAAATTGTCCCGATACTTCTGAACATCAATGGGAAATATTAATTTCCAGACAATTTTTTATTCAAACAGTACTTCGATATATGAAGTTGATATCAGTTACTTTCAATTTGCTCAAACATCAATTCAAACTTGATATGTGACACAATCTAGTTTTTATTTCCATAGCACGAGCTATAATGTATAACTGATCGTTAAGTTGGTATCATAATGGATGAGCACTACTGGGCTGGTTTGTTGGCAGTCATCATGGCCAGGAACTCTGAGTAGTTCACCCTCCCGTCTCCGTCTGTGTCGGCCTCTTTGATCATGTCTGCTACGTCACTCCCACTCTCACCCAATCCCTCCATCACCGCCTAATTTTACTTACAGTTTTCAATAATGAAAAAAAAAACATCTTAAATGTCAGTTTGGCTCAATCCAAAAAAGAATGATGCTACTCACTTATTATTATTCGAGTATTAGGATATTGTGGTATTTATAGGTCAAAATCACGCTGTAAAACAACCATGTCAAAAGTTTTGATAAACCTGAAGCTTCTTGATGCTTCAAATCAGAAATCTTCAATTGATTGATTTTAGGCTGTCGAAGGTTAACCCAAGTTCGAATGATTTCAAAACATAAAATAGCGTTCAGCTCTAATTATTATGTGCTTATTGTTAGTTTTTTATTCAAAGTAAACTAAATTGCAAATACTGTTCTGCTTAAGATATGGACCTTGAGTTCCTGTGCAGTGATGAATCCGTCGTTGTCCCTGTCGAGTACCTTGAATGCCTCCTTGATCTCCGACACCCTGTCCGAGTGCTTCACCTTCTTCGCCATCATGCCCAGAAACTCGTCGAAACAGATCACGCCATTTCCTGAGAAAAAAGCTTCATTTATTGGCAAAACTTGTGACCTCTCGAACATTAGCAAAACATTTCAACTCATGTTTTGTAGCATAATTAGACTTAACACGTCATTTTTTGTTCTAAAAAGTTTTCAATCAGCTCCAGATTATTTGTCTGATCAGTGAAGAGTTTAGCAACTTCATGACAATCAAATACCAAACAATCTTGATATAATTTCATGATTGATTGGTATTTGGTTTAATTGCAAATATGCTAAAATCCAAAACCCCTTGATGCTGGACGGGGGAGACGGTTGAATTGAATTGTTTTCCAAGAATGATTTAGAGTCCATTTTCTTATTTTCAAACAAATTAAATAAAATTATACGGTTTTCTAACAACTACCCACATGGATCAATAACGCTCATAGAATTGGATTGATTATAAAAATTTTTCTCCTGAGACTTGATGTATGGAGTCGTATGACAAGCATTTTCAGTGTATGGAGGTCAAACTTGTATGTTAATTTGGAGATGTAGACAACGACAATATCCAAATAGACCGAATTCACCCACCGTCCTTATCTACTTCGTTGATGAGGTCCTTCAGCTCAGTATCAGTTGGTTTGTGGCCCAGACTCCTCATCACCCGTCCTATCTCCACTGTGGTGATCTTACCATCCCCGTCCTAGGCGAATCTTACATCAAAACTTTGCATTCTTCAAATAAAGCATAAATTTTCAGTTGATTAAGCACACCGTTGAAATGTTATTTAAACAAGACTGCTCGTATCAGGGCGAAGCCTTGAATGTTCCGACTACCTTTTAAGGGCTGTGAAGCAGTAATCTTATGAAAAATTTAAAGGTAATAAAAACAAAACGATTTTTTTTTTAAATCTGAGGTTTTGTGTGAAAATCATCCCCCCACACGTCATATAGAGTACAAAGTGATAGATTTTGCTCCTAGTAACAAATCAATATATCGTGCGTTAATTGTCCCAAATTGGCCAAAATGGCTATGTTTAAATCCCCATAACTATACGAAAAATGATCAGTTTACGAAAAAAATGATCATTTTTTCAAATTTAAGCTCAGAACAACAATACCTTTTGAATGATAAAAAAAAAAATTCCGTCAAAAATGGCTTGTTAAAAAGTCAAAACTTGTCTAAAGAAAAAAACACATCCGAGCACAAATATTCCGTTACTTTTGTTGCGAAAGTCGGAACAAAAGTTTTTTAAAAAAAACAAGGCTGCTCCGTAACTGATCTCAAGTAAAGTGTGATTATATATTTTTTGATACATTATGAATTTTGGACTGCCACTATCAAACTTAAAACTCGAACGTTTGAACGGTATACGAAATTAATACGACCAATTCAGTTTGTCTCAATTCAATTTGAAACAGTTTTTTTTGTGGGATGATTCACCACGCATAAATGGTTTGCGTATTGAAACTATTACATAGGAAATGCGAAGTTTTAAATCCCAGATAGACTAGTGCAAGCCAAAACAGCCTTGAACTTCGAATATTTCAGTATCGAATGTCAAGCTGAAAAAATTTTGATTCGACTGTTGTAAACGAGTCAACGAACGCTAGGAAACAAAAAAGATCGGTTTGTAGAAAAGAAATTTGAATTTCAAAAAAGGAAAAAAAAAACTGCTTTTTCAGAAACAATATATGATTGACAATATTTTGATAAAACTAACTAAATTAAGTTGCGTTTTTCTCTATGAAATTTTTGAAACTAGAAATTGATCTCGTTTTTTGTGACCTTAACTTTTTCGCTGTTCAATAGTGGAGTTTGCCTTCCTTTTAACAAAGCAAAAGAACTGAACTCAAAAAAACTTTAACCACAAAAACAAACGTTGAGCGTGAACAACTTTTCGGACACTATAGAATACATCGTTACCACCTACATCAGTGTCTTCACTGCGTTTTTCTATTCTTAAAGGTTTTTGTTGTAACAACGGCCTGAATAAAAAATCACCCGTGGAATATATGTTTCTTACTTTCTTAAAAATTTGGAACATTAAGCCCTTTTCCACTTTATTTTCTTTTTATATAATTTTTTCATAGTTGTTTCATGTAATTTTATGCTGAATTTGTGAGTTAATGATAGAACATATGGACATGAAATCAATTATAATCTTTTTTTTGTCCACCATCGGAAATTTTTTGTGCACACACTAAATTTGTTCTTTTTTTTAAAAAAAAATCAGTTTTGCCAAAATGAATGACCTTTTGTATAGTTATAAACATAAGTCGCAAGCAGAACATAGTTCAAGATTTGAATTGGGCATTTGATAGGGAGAAAAGAGACAAAACTAAGGAGCAAAAATGGAAATTATTAGCTTGTGGGTTTTATATGCTGTTAAATTTTGTTGGTTGGCTATCAATGAACAAGTACATTTTTATTGACAACTTTAGATCAGTCTGAAACTCAAACAAAGTTTTCAAAATAATGCGCCAAGATTTACCGATTATTTCTGAAATACTGGAATTGAGATAACAGTTAAGCTTAAGATTAGCAACACTTTTTTTGCAGTTTATATCATTTTGAGATTTATTTTATTAAGCCTTCAACACAAATGCTGTGAAAAGGAATCAAGTGTGAATATACACGTTTTTATGAGATGAAAAAAAGAATGTTGATTGAGAAAGAATTGGCGCTTTCTCTCTTTCCTCGACTAGTGTGCGGCTTTTTTAGGTGAATTAAAAAAAGAGTAGTTAAGAACTAAAAGTATTTTCCATAATAAGCAAGCAAGCTGGATTATTCGAAACATGCCGAGCTGAACTAAAAAACATTGGTTGTTGAGAATCATTGAAGGCCATATTATGGTCTCTCTTTTTTAATTTTAAGTTCAAAACAAAAAAAAATAATTAACACAAAATTTTACAAGTTTCTAGTAAAACCTTGAAAGAAGATTTCTTGTTGGTCATAAGCTTTTTGGATTTCAAATTTTAGAAAAAAAAATTTTCATTTCATTTTATTAAATTTATTTATATTATGTTATGACTGCTCCATAAACGTTAAAAGCAGTCGGAACATTCAGGGCTTCGCGCCCTGATAGGAGCAGTCTTGTTTAATTATATGTGCTAGGAAAACTATTCTGTTTTTGATTTTGTCTGTTTCTAGAGCAACTGATTTAGGGTTGTGTTTGAGATTTTTATAAAGTTAGAAAAATTTTTGCATTCTTCCTGGTATAATGGGATTGAAATTTTATGCTTACAAAAAAAGGTGCTTAGAAAATTTCCTAAAAGCTATAGACAGCATGATGCGGAGAATTGGCTTTAAAAACAAATGTAGTTGAAAAACTCAGCTCAAACCAGTAAAAAATTTTGATAAAATTCCTTTTCAAAATATAAAAGGAGTCGGTTTAAACATTTTAAGATTCCTATTGAATGAGATATTGAAGAAGGCGAAAAACGGCTCAAATTTTGCCACAAAAAGCACAGCAAAATGTGGTTCCGATTGAGAAAGTAATAACAGTAACAACAATATTAACAAGACTGCTCGTATCAGGGCGAAGCCCTAAATGTTCCGACTGCCTTTTAATGTTTATGGAGAAGTAATAACAAAAAAAATTAATTGTATTAAAATAAAATAAAAAATTTCTTCTTCAAAAATTTGAACTTTTTTTAAAATAAAAATCATCCCCCCTCACGCCATATAAAGTACAAAAGAATAAATTTTGCTCCTTGTAACAAATCAGTTATGGCACATAAGCTTCTTTTAATCAATTTGGAACGAGTTCTAGGACGGATTAACGCTCAGCTTACACGTTAATAGCGCGAAATATATCGCGCCTTAATTGTCGCAAATTGGCTGAAATGACCATTTTTAAACCCTCATAACTTCACGAAAAATGATCACAGGTGAAATATCTTTTCATATTTGAGCTCAGGAAAACAATACTTGGCATGGCTAGTTAAAAAGTCAAAATATGTCTCAAGAAAAAAAACCACCCGAGCACAAATATTCAGTTACTTTCAGAGCGAAAGTCGGAACAATAAAATAATTTCTATTTGAGGAAAATGTGAAAGCGAAAAAATATGAAAGCGAAAAATAAAGCAAAAAGTTGCTATAGCGGTAAAAAATAACAAAACTGCTCGTATATCAGGGCAAAGCCCTGAATGTTCCGACTGCCTTTTAAGGTTTATGGATTAGTAATAACATTAAAAAATTAAATGAAATCAACCAAAATGAAAAAATTTTTTCTAAAATTTGAAATTTTTTATGAAAATCATTCCCCCACACGCCATATAAAGTACAAAAGCATATATGTCGCTCCTTGTAACAAATCACTTATGGCAAATAAGCTTCTTTCAACCAATTAGGAACGATTTCAAAGACTGATTAACTCTCCGCTTACGCGTTAATAGCGCGAAATATATCGCGCGTTAATTGTCCCAAATTGGCCAAAATGGCAATATTTAAACCCCCGTAACTTCACGAAAAATGATCACAGGTAAAATATATTTTCAAGTTTAAGCTCAGGTTAACAATAACTTTCGAATGATATAAAAAAGTTCAGTCAAAAATGGCTAGTTAAAAAGTCAAAATTTGTCTGAAGAAAAAAAAACCCACCCCGAGCATGAATATTCCGTTACGTTCGTGTCGAAAGTCGGAACAATTAGTGGCATTTTTCTGGTTAAACTAAGCCAACTTGAGTAAACTGTCTGAAAGAAACTCAGAATAGCTCAAAAGTGAATCAAATTATGATTGGAATCAGGAAGTGTAAGTTAAGGCTATTTTTGGCTTTTTTCAATTTTGAGATTAGAGAAAAATGAAACAAAAGCAAAACTTTCCAACAAGATACATCATTACAAAAATTTTCAATTTCAACAAGCTACAAACCGGGTGGTTTCTTACAAGTAATACAAGTGAAACAATCGTACGAACAATCAAAAATTGTCTCACTTTTTATTCGAATAATTTGCATTAAAAAATGGGTTACAGGCAGAGGGCAACCCGCATGTGAGTTCACATAGTTACGCTTTTACGTAATTGTTTTAAACATTCATCTAAGTAATCTTAATTTAATAGTGATTTATTTAACTGAATCATCCATAACTCATCAAGTATCCATAAGTATCAAGTCTGTTTTAGTTGATTACTTGCCACTGACTTAATTCATTCACATTCATGCACATGTTGATGTTACCAGATATCAACTTAGTTCAAACGAAAATTATTAAACCTTTGAAGGCGTTAAAAGTTATAAGAAAAACTTTTGGCTCCATTACCAGTTGACTTTTTAGTTTTCACCAAGTTATCTTACAGATTCAAATTCAGAGTGCTTTGAGGAGTCTTCTGATATTTAAATTGTGTAAATCCGGATCCAGTAAATTGAGTTTCTCCATTTTTCAAACAATGGAACAGTAAACAATTGAACAATTAAAACAAGAAATTACTTGTAGAAATTTGCAGGCTGAGGGAGTCAAAAAGTTGCTTGGATGCCTGGGAAAAATTGTTTTTACTATATACCTTGTCAAAGAGAGAGAATGCGTCTTTGAAGTCAGCTATCTGCTCCTCTGTTAGTTCAGGTACCGTGGCCGCCGTAGCTCCCTTCGGTTTAACCGCTTTGCCATCAGACTTCTAAACAAAACAACCCCTTTCCGTTGATTGATAACCAGCATATCTGAAAACATTTAAAACAACAAGGCTCAAACCCTATACTTTAATCAGAACGCACACACTTTACCATTTTTTAAAAAATTCAGTGGGAAAGAGTTTCGTACCTTTTTGGCTGCGCTCATTCTTTTTGACGTTTTTATTTTCCAACTCGAAAATCGATCGGATCGGTTTCAGGTACAGTTTAAAACCAGTTGTTTTCAACCAGTTCTAGACGTGACAGTCTTGGTTTCTCTTTGCGTTGTTACAGAAATACTTTAACAATCGTGGTTGGAGAAAGCACAAAAGATTGACAGTTACAAAAATGTTTGCATGACTGATGACTTCTGTAAATCATGACACTTTTGACATGGTATTTTGAATGCCTTATGGGACTGAAAAATAAGAATAATGAAAGAGTCCAAAAAACAACATTATAGTTTGAAAATAGTTTTCACTTTTCAACTCACAATGATTTTATTCCAAAATGAAAAGAATGAAAGGAGAAGATGGCAGAAAAAAACAGCTACACTGACTGAACCTTCAAATAATTAAAGTTTGGGCAGTTTATAAGCAAAAATGACCCATTTCTTGATGCATAGTTTGAAAAACTTTTCGATCACCCTGAAAACGCGCGCAAGTTGACTTCGGGTGAAAAATTTCAGCATCTTGAAAAAAGACATGTAAAAAAAGAATAAACACGGTGCAAAATGACAAAGGATGAAACTTTACAAAAACAAAGTAATTGTTAAAAACGAGTCGCTCGTCTTTGATGGTCAATTTCCTCTTGTTAATTGTTATCTGGGCGGATTGGCATTAACCTAGTGATGTACAAATAAATAACTATACTTATTTATTTAATATGTACCGCAGGTAAAATGACCTTGAGTGACACGGCCAGTCCGAAATGAGAAGAACTCTGAACGCTCAGAACACAATTTAGGAGATTATGTTTCAATTATCGGTTACTCTTCATTGAGTTACCAACCTAGTTGCCAATCCATACGGGTTCAGTTAAGACTCATACAATACGGTATGACATGGCGCAGCCAGCGAAGGATACAAAAATCATCTGAGCATTTAACTAATCTGGCAGATGGCAACGACCGAACCATCAGTGGAGTGGACCAAATGAACAGCGATGATAGCATTGGCCGTCCTGATCAGACAAAAAGAATTATGAACTATACTTCATCTTAAGCCACCAATTATAGTACCAACGGAACCCATTTACAAATTTAAAATAACGGTGAAACAGAAGCGGAAAACGAAAACGAGTTATACGAAATCAAGAGAAAAAAGTTGACTGGGAAAACAAAAAAGCAAGAGTTAGAGAGAGAGAGGATCACTTCGACACAATTTCCCGTGGGACGAAGTAGATACCAAAGTGAGGAGTTATATATTTTTGTGCTTAGGAGCCCAAGGCAAAAAACAAGTACAGCAAGAACGTCCAGGACTTGAGATACACGCCATAACAAAGAAAGAATTGCAACAAAAACTGAAGACATTTTTGTCACAACGAAGTAGGTCAATTGCTTTCGAGAGGTATAACTTCGTCTGCTGGAAACAACCGAAAAACGAATCTTTAGAACAATTCCATGCGGATCTAGTCGAACTAGCGTCACGCGTCGAAAGCAGTGATAGAGAAGATGAAAGGGTACGAGACATAATCACAGCCCATATGTCATATGAAAAAATTTCCAAGGAACTACTAGCAGAGAGTCAACAAGTGCGAGGTTTCTGCAGAGGCCGTCAAATATTCCCAGGAGGAAATAATAACCCCTGAGGTACACAGAATTTACAAGTAAGTCCAAGAATTGATGCAAATGCGGTTGACAATTCGGTCTCAATCAGTTATTATTGTGCCCAGCCAAAGATAAAACTGTTACCAATTGCGCAAAACGAAGACATTTCGCAAAAGTATGCAGATCAACAAAAGTAAACTATATGCAGGAGTCAAACGGAAACCAATCTGAGGGAGAACAAAATGAAGAAAACGAAGATGAAGAGAACGACCCCTTAGCTTACGCGGAATTAATCTCTACCAATGGTTGCGAAGACATACCACGAGTCATTTCTGAAGCCTTCGAAATAAAAAACCTAATCGATATGCGAAGAGAAGACTTAAACTGCCACATTATAAAAACAAAAACTGATTCAGAGAACATTATCGCAATTACAAAATCAGGAAGCTCAATGTCCTTCTTAAACAAGAAAACAGCGCAAAGACTTCAGACAAATGAAAAACCAGCAAATTTCAGCAGATATATCACTCAGGTAATAAATTTGGTATGCTACAATGGAAAAAAAAACCTCCCGAAAGGACGATTAGGAATTGCGATAGAATAAGGAGGCTGGACGGTGCAATTCAATTCATTTATAACTGAAGACGACCAAAAAGCAAACATCACCGGACTCACTATTCTAACAGAAATTGTAATCCCACTTGCAAAAGAAAAACCCAATACAACCAATTTTTTAAAGTGCAAGAATTAGAAAATTCCGAAAAAAGCTAAAGCAATGGGTAAAATAAAATTTTCAGCAACTGTGTGTAAGAAATGGAAAATCTAAAAACTATGTACGGAAACCGCAATTCATCAAAGACATGACACCAATAAAACAAAAAAGAAGAAGGAAACCAAATCATCTCCAAGAACTCGTGAACAAAAAATTGATTAAATTGATTGATCAAAAATCATCATGAAGTTAAATGAATCTTTGGATAAGCAATTCATCAGTCCAATTGTAGTAATGGTAAAGAAGGATCAAACAGTAAAACTAGTATTGAACTCGAAAAAGCTAAACAATTTTATCAATAAAAACAAACATCAAAAGCCCAAGATCGAACTACATTGACAGTGTTGCACAAATCATAAAAACAAAGGAAAAAGAACCGACACTATTGTCGACACATGATCTTTGCTATGCATATTCGCAAACTCCTCCGGATGGAGAAACAAATAGACAATGCAATTTTAGCCTCATTGGAGGCCATGCCACTGGAACAAACCAATTCCAAATGCGATTCTACGGCCTCACGGACATGCCTACCGAACTTCAAAAAGCGATAAGCCTCACTCTGACAAATTGCGAAAGCTATCAAACAAGAACCCATTGAATACAAGCACTCACGCGGCAGAGGAGCTCCAAATGCATAGCAATCAGTCAAAAAGTCCGAGGTTTCTGCAGAGGACGTCAAAACTTCCCAAGAGGAAATAATAACTCATGAAGTACGCAGAATTCACAAATAAGTCCAAGAATTGATACAAATGCGGTAGACAATTCATTCGGTCTCAATCACTTACAATTGTGCCCAGCCAAAGATAAAATTGTTACCAATCAAGCAAAACGAAGACATTTTGCAAAAGTATGCAGATCAACAAATGTAAACTACATGCAGGAGTCGAACGGAAACCAACCTGAGGAAGAACAATATGAAGAAAACGAAGATGAAGAGATCGACCCCTTAGCTTACGCGGAATTAATCTCTACCAACGGTTGCGAAGACATACCACGAGTCATTTCTGAAGCCTTTGAAGCAAAAAACCTAATCGCTATGCGAGAAGAAGACTTAAGCGGCCCCATTATAAAAAAAACTAAATCAGAGAGCATAATCGCAAAGGCAAAATTAGGAAGCCCAATGACCTTCATAAACAAAAAAACAGCGCAAAGACTTCAGACAAATAAAAAATCAGCAAATTTCAGCAGATATATCTCTCCGGAAGACGCGGCAATAAATTTGGTATGCTACAATGGAAAAACAATCCTCCCGAAAGGACTATTAAGAATTGCGATAGAATAAGGAGGCTGGACGGTGCAATTCAATTCATTTATAACCGAAGACGACCAAAAAGCAAACATCACCGGACTCACTATCCTAACAGAAATTGTAATCCCACTTGCAAAAGAAAAACCCAACACAACCAAATTTTTTAAGTGCAAGAATTAGAAAGTTCCAAAAAAAGCTAAAGCAATGGGTAAAAGACAATTTTTGGCAACTTTGTGTAAGAATTGGAAAATCTAAAAACTTTGTAAGGAAAACGTAATTCATCGAATGATATAAAAAAGTTCAGTCAAAAATGGCTAGTTAAAAAGCCAAAATTTGTCTGAAGAAAGAAAAACCCACCCCGAGCATGAATCTTCCGTTACGTTCGTATCGAAAGTCGGAACAATTAGTGGCATTTTTCTGGTTAAACTAAGCCAACTTGAGTAAACTGTCTGAAAGAAACTCAGAATAGCTGAAAAGTGAATCAAATTATGATTGGAATCAGGAAGTGTAAGTTAAGGCTATTTTTGACTTTTTTCAATTTTGAGATTAGAGAAAAATGAAGCAAAAGCAAAACTTTCCAACAAGATACATCATTACAAAAATTTTCAATTTCAACAAACTACAAACCGGGTGGTTTCTTACAAGTTATACAAGTGAAACAATTGTACGAACAATCAAAAATTGTCTCACTTTTTATTCGAATAATTTGCATTAAAAAATGGGTTACAGGCAGAGGGCAACCCGCGTGTGAGTTCACATAGTTACGCTTTTACGTAATTGTTTTAAACATTCATCTAAGTAATCTTAATTTAATAAAGATTTATTTAACTGAATCATCCATAACTCATCAAGTATCCATAAGTATCAAGTCTGTTTTAGTTGTTTACTTGCCACTGACTTAATTCATTCACATTCATGCACATGTTGATGTTACCAGATATCAACTTAGTTCAAACGAAAATTATTAAACCTTTGAAGGCGTTAAAAGTTATAACAAAAACTTTTGGTTCCATTACCAGTTGACTTTTTAGTTTTCACCAAGTTATCTTACAGATTCAAATTCTGAGTGCTTTGAGGAGTCTTCTGATATTTAACTTGGGTAAATCCGGATCCAGTAAATTGAGACTCTCCATTTTTCAAACAATGGAACAGTAAACAATTGAACAATTAAAACAAGAAATTACTTGTAGAAATTTGCACGCTGAGGGAGTCAAAAAGTTGTCTGGATGCCTGGGAAAAATTGTTTTTACTATATACCTTGTCAAAGAGAGAGAATGCGTCTTTGAAGTCAGCTATCTGCTCCTCTGTTAGTTCAGGTACCGTGGCCGCCGTAGCTCCCTTCGGCTTAACCGCTTTGCCATCAGACTTCTAAACAAAACAACCCCTTTCCGTTGATTGATAACCAGCATATCTGAAAACATTTAAAACAACAAGGCTCAAACCCTATACTTTAATCAGAACGCACACACTTTACCATTTTTTTTAAAATTCAGTGGGAAAGAGTTTCGTACCTTTTTGGCTGCGCTCATTCTTTTTGACGTTTTTATTTTCCAACTCGAAAATCGATCGGATCGGTTTCAGGTACAGTTTAAAACCAGTTGTTTTCAACCAGTTCTAGACGTGACAGTCTTGGTTTCTCTTTGCGTTGTTACAGAAATACTTTAACAATCGTGGTTGGAGAAAGCACAAAAGATTGACAGTTACAAAAATGTTTGCATGACTGATGACTTCTGTAAATCATGACACTTTTGACATGGTATTTTGAACGCCTTATGGGACTGAAAAATAAGAATAATGAAAGAGTCCAAAAAACAACATTATAGTTTGAAAATAGTTTTCACTTTTCAACTCACAATGGTTTTATTCCAAAATGAAAAGAATGAAAGGAGAAGATGGCAGAAAAAAACAGCAACACTGACTGAACCTTCAAATAATTAAAGTTTGGGCAGTTTATAAGCAAAAATGACCAATTTATTGATGCATAGTTTGAAAAACTTTTCCATCACCCTGAAAACGCGCGCAAGTTGACTTCGGGTGAAAAATTTCAGCATCTTGAAAAAAGACATGTAAAAAAAGAATAAACACGGTGCAAAACGACAAAGGATGAAACTTTACAAAAACAAAATAATTGTTAAAAACGAGTCGCTCGTCTTTGATGGTCAATTTCCTCTTGTTAATTGTCATCTGGGCGGATTGGCATTAACCTAGTGATGTACAAATAAATAACTATACTTATTTATTTAATATGTACCGCAGGTAAAATGACCTTGAGTGACACGGCCAGTCCGAAATGAGAAGAGCTCTGAACGCTCAGAACACAATTTAGGAGATTATGTTTCAATTATCGGTTACTCTTCATTGAGTTACCAACCTAGTTGCCAATCCATACGTGTTCAGTTAAGACTCATACAATACGGTATGACATGGCGCAGCCAGCGAAGGATACAAAAATCATCTGAGCATTTAACTAATCTGGCAGATGGCAACGACCGAACCATCAGTGGAGTGGACCAAATGAACAGCGATGATAGCATTGGCCGTCCTGATCAGACAAAAAGAATTATGAACTATACTTCATCTTAAGCCACCAATTATAGTACCAACGGAACCCATTTACAAATTTAAAATAACGGTGAAACAGAAGCGGAAAACGAAAACGAGTTATACGAAATCAAGAGAAAAAAGTTGACTGGGAAAACAAAAAAGCAAGAGTTAGAGAGAGAGGATCACTTCGACACAATTTCCCGTGGGACGAAGTAGATACCAAAGTGAGGAGTTATATATTTTTGTGCTTAGGAGCCCAAGGCAAAAAACAAGTACAGCAAGAACGTCCAGGACTTGAGATACACGCCATAACAAAGAAAGAATTGCAACAAAAACTGGAAGACATTTTTGTCACAACGAAGTAGGTCAATTGCTTTCGAGAGGTATAACCTCGTCTGCTGGAAACAACCGAAAAACGAATCATTAGAACAATTCCATGCGGATCTAGTCGAACTAGCGTCACGCGTCGAAAGCAGTGATAGAGAAGATGAAAGGGTACGAGACATAATCACAGCCCATTTGTCATATAAAAAAATTTCCAAGGAACTACTACCAGAGAGTCAACAAGTGCGAGGTTTCTGCAGAGGCCGTCAAATATTCCCAGGAGGAAATAATAACCCCTGAGGTACACAGAATTTACAAGTAAGTCCAAGAATTGATGCAAATGCGGTTGACAATTCGGTCTCAATCAGTTATTATTGTGCCCAGCCAAAGATAAAACTGTTACCAATTGTGCAAAACGAAGACATTTTGCAAAAGTATGCAGATCAACAAAAGTAAACTATATGCAGGAGTCAAACGGAAACCAACTGAGGGAGAACAAAATGAAGAAAACGAAGATGAAGAGAACGACCCCATAGCTTACGCGGAATTAATCTCTACCAATGGTTGCGAAGACATACCACGAGTCATTTCTGAAGCCTTCGAAATAAAAAAACCTAATCGATATGCGAAGAGAAGACTTAAACTGCCACATTATAAAAACAAAAACTGATTCAGAGAACTTTATCGCAATTACAAAATCAGGAAGCTGATTACAAAAGGAAAACAGCGCAAAGACTTCAGACAAATGAAAAACCAGCAAATTTCAGCAGATATATCACTCAGGTAATAAATTTGGTGTGCTACAATGGAAAAAAAAAACCTCCCGAAAGGACGATTAGGAATTGCGATAGAATAATGAGGCTAGACGGTGCAATTCAATTCATTTATAACTGAAGACGACCAAAAAGCAAACATCACCGGACTCACTATTGTAACAGAAATTGTAATCCCACTTGCAAAAGAAAAACCCAATACAACCAATTTTTTAAAGTGCAAGAATTAGAAAATTCCGAAAAAAGCTAAAGCAATGGGTAAAATAAAATTTTCAGCAACTGTGTGTAAGAAATGGAAAATCTAAAAACTATGTACGGAAACCGCAATTCATCAAAGACATGACACCAATAAAACAAAAAAGAAGAAGGAAACCAAATCATCTCCAAGAACTCGTGAACAAAAAATTGATTAAATTGATTGATCAAAAATCATCATGAAGTTAAATGAATCTTTGGATAAGCAATTCATCAGTCCAATTGTAGTAATGGTAAAGAAGGATCAAACAGTAAAACTAGTATTGAACTCGAAAAAGCTAAACAATTTTATCAATAAAAACAAACATCAAAAGCCCAAGATCGAACTACATTGACAGTGTTGCACAAATCATAAAAACAAAGGAAAAAGAACCGACACTATTGTCGACACATGATCTTTGCTATGCATATTCGCAAACTCCTCCGGATGGAGAAACAAATAGACAATGCAATTTTAGCCTCATTGGAGGCCATGCCACTGGAACAAACCAATTCCAAATGCGATTCTACGGCCTCACGGACATGCCTACCGAATTTCAAAAAGCGATAAGCCTCACTCTGACAAATTTCGAAAGCTATCAAACAAGAACCCATTGAATACAAGCACTCACACGGCAGAGGAGCTCCAAATGCATAGCAATCAGTCAAAAAGTCCGAGGTTTCTGCAGAGGACGTCAAAATTTCCCAAGAGGAAATAATAACTCATGAAGTACGCAGAATTCACAAATAAGTCCAAGAATTGATACAAATGCGGTAGACAATTCATTCGGTCTCAATCACTTACAATTGTGCCCAGCCAAAGATAAAATTGTTACCAATCAAGCAAGACGAAGACATTTTGCAAAAGTATGCAGATCAACAAATGTAAACTACATGCAGGAGTCGAATGGAAACCAACCTGAGGAAGAACATTATGAAGAAAACGAAGATGAAGAGATCGACCCCTTAGCTTACGCGGAATTAATCTCTACCAACGGTTGCGAAGACATACCACGAGTCATTTCTGAAGCCTTTGAAGCAAAAAACCTATTCGCTATGCGAGAAGAAGACTTAAGCGGCCCCATTATAAAAAAAATAAATCAGAGAGCATAATCGCAAAGGCAAAATTAGGAAGCCCAATGACCTTCATAAACAAAAAAACAGCGCAAAGACTTCAGACAAATGAAAAATCAGCAAATTTCAGCAGATATATCTCTCCGGAAGACGCGGCAATAAATTTGGTATGCTACAATGGAAAAAAATCCTCCCGAACGGACAATTAAGAATTGCGATAGAATAAGGAGGCTGGACGGTGCAATTCAATTCATTTATAACTGAAGACGACCAAAAAGCAAACATCACCGGACTCACTATCCTAACAGAAATTGTAATCCCACTTGCAAAAGAAAAACCCAACACAACCAAATTTTTTAAGTGCAAGAATTAGAAAGTTCCAAAAAAAGCTAAAGCAATGGGTAAAAGAAAATTTTTGGCAACTTTATGTAAGAATTGGAAAATCTAAAAACTTTGTAAGGAAAACGTAATTCATCGAATGATATAAAAAAGTTCAGTCAAAAATGGCTAGTTAAAAAGTCAAAATTTGTCTGAAGAAAAAAAGACCCACCCCGAGCATGAATCTTCCGTTACGTTCGTATCGAAAGTCGGAACAATTAGTGGCATTTTTCTGGTTAAACTAAGCCAACTTGAGTAAACTGTCTGAAAGAAACTCAGAATAGCTGAAAAGTGAATCAAATTATGATTGGAATCAGGAAGTGTAAGTTAAGGCTATTTTTGGCTTTTTTCAATTTTGAGATTAGAGAAAAATGAAACAAAAGCAAAACTTTCCAACAAGATACATCATTACAAAAATTTTCAATTTCAACAAACTACAAACAGGGTGTTTTCTTACAAGTTATACAAGTGAAACAATCGTACGAACAATCAAAAATTGTCTCACTTTTTATTCGAATAATTTGCATTAAAAAATGGGTTACAGGCAGAGGGCAACCCGCGTGTGAGTTCACATAGTTACGCTTTTACGTAATTGTTTTAAACATTCATCTAAGTAATCTTAATTTAGTAGTGATTTATTTAACTGAATCATCCATAACTCATCAAGTATCCATAAGTATCAAGTCTGTTTTAGTTGTTTACTTGCCACTGACTTAATTCATTCACATTCATGCACATGTTGATGTTACCAGATATCAACTTAGTTCAAACGAAAATTATTAAACCTTTGAAGGCGTTAAAAATTATAAGAAAAACTTTTGGTTCCATTACCAGTTGACTTTTTAGTTTTCACCAAGTTATCTTACAGATTCAAATTCTGAGTGCTTTGAGGAGTCTTCTGATATTTAAATTGGGTAAATCCGGATCCAGTATATTGAGTTTCTCCATTTTTCAAACAATGGAACAGTAAACAATTGAACAATTAAAACAAGAAATTACTTGTAGAAATTTGCAGGCTGAGGGAGTCAAAAAGTTGTTTGGATGCCTGGGAAAAATTGTTTTTACTATATACCTTGTCAAAGAGAGAGAATGCGTCTTTGAAGTCAGCTATCTGCTCCTCTGTTAGTTCAGGTACCGTGGCCGCCGTAGCTCCCTTCGGCTTAACCGCTTTGCCATCAGACTTCTAAACAAAACAACCCCTTTCCGTTGATTGATAACCAGCATATCTGAAAACATTTAAAACAACAAGGCTCAAACCCTATACTTTAATCAGAACGCACACACTTTACCATTTTTTTTAAAATTCAGTGGGAAAGAGTTTCGTACCTTTTTGGCTGCGCTCATTCTTTTTGACGTTTTTATTTTCCAACTCGAAAATCGATCGGATCGGTTTCAGGTACAGTTTAAAACCAGTTGTTTTCAACCAGTTCTAGACGTGACAGTCTTGGTTTCTCTTTGCGTTGTTACAGAAATACTTTAACAATCGTGGTTGGAGAAAGCACAAAAGATTGACAGTTACAAAAATGTTTGCATGACTGATGACTTCTGTAAATCATGACACTTTTGACATGGTATTTTGAATGCCTTATGGGACTGAAAAATAAGAATAATGAAAGAGTCCAAAAAACAACATTATAGTTTGAAAATAGTTTTCACTTTTCAACTCACAATGATTTTATTCCAAAATGAAAAGAATGAAAGGAGAAGATGGCAGAAAAAAACAGCAACACTGACTGAACCTTCAAATAATTAAAGTTTGGGCAGTTTATAAGCAAAAATGACCCATTTCTTGATGCATAGTTTGAAAAACTTTTCCATCACCCTGAAAACGCGCGCAAGTTGACTTCGGGTGAAAAATTTCAGCATCTTGAAAAAAGACACGTAAAAAAAGAATAAACACGGTGCAAAATGACAAAGGATGAAACTTTACAAAAACAAAATAATTGTTAAAAACGAGTCGCTCGTCTTTGATGGTCAATTTCCTCTTGTTAATTGTTATCTGGGCGGATTGGCATTAACCTACTGATGTACAAATAAATAGCTATACTTATTTATTTAATATGTACCGCAGGTAAAATGACCTTGAGTGACACGGCCAGTCCGAAATGAGAAGAGCTCTGAACGCTCAGAACACAATTTAGGAGATTATGTTTCAATTATCGGTTACTCTTCATTGAGTTACCAACCTAGTTGCCAATCCATACGGGTTCAGTTAAGACTCATACAATACGGTATGACATGGCGCAGCCAGCGAAGGATACAAAAATCATCTGAGCACTTAACTAATCTGGCAGATGGCAACGACCGAACCATCAGTGGAGTGGACCAAATGAACAGCGATGATAGCATTGGCCGTCCTGATCAGACAAAAAGAATTACGAACTATACTTCATCTTAAGCCACCAATTATAGTACCAACGGAACCCATTTACAAATTTAAAATAACGGTGAAACAGAAGCGGAAAACGAAAACGAGTTATACGAAATCAAGAGAAAAAAGTTGACTGGGAAAACAAAAAAGCAAGAGTTAGAGAGAGAGGATCACTTCGACACAATTTCCCGTGGGACGAAGTAGATACCAAAGTGAGGAGTTATATATTTTTGTGCTTAGGAGCCCAAGGCAAAAAACAAGTACAGAAAGAACGTCCAGGACTTGAGATACACGCCATAACAAAGAAAGAATTGCAACAAAAACTGGAAGACATTTTTGTCACAACGAAGTAGGTCAATTGCTTTCGAGAGGTATATCACTCAGGTAATAAATTTGGTATGCTACAATGGAAAAAAAAAACCTCCCGAAAGGACGATTAGGAATTGCGATAGAATAATGAGGCTAGACGGTGCAATTCAATTCATTTATAACTGAAGACGACCAAAAAGCAAACATCACCGGACTCACTATTCTAACAGAAATTGTAATCCCACTTGCAAAAGAAAAACCCAATACAACCAATTTTTTAAAGTGCAAGAATTAGAAAATTCCGAAAAAAGCTAAAGCAATGGGTAAAATAAAATTTTCAGCAACTGTGTGTAAGAAATGGAAAATCTAAAAACTATGTACGGAAACCGCAATTCATCAAAGACATGACACCAATAAAACAAAAAAGAAGAAGGAAACCAAATCATCTCCAAGAACTCGTGAACAAAAAATTGATTAAATTGATTGATCAAAAATCATCATGAAGTTAAATGAATCTTTGGATAAGCAATTCATCAGTCCAATTGTAGTAATGGTAAAGAAGGATCAAACAGTAAAACTAGTATTGAACTCGAAAAAGCTAAACAATTTTATCAATAAAAACAAACATCAAAAGCCCAAGATCGAACTACATTGACAGTGTTGCACAAATCATAAAAACAAAGGAAAAAGAACCGACACTATTGTCGACACATGATCTTTGCTATGCATATTCGCAAACTCCTCCGGATGGAGAAACAAATAGACAATGCAATTTTAGCCTCATTGGAGGCCATGCCACTGGAACAAACCAATTCCAAATGCGATTCTACGGCCTCACGGACATGCCTACCGAACTTCAAAAAGCGATAAGCCTCACTCTGACAAATTGCGAAAGCTATCAAACAAGAACCCATTGAATACAAGCACTCACGCGGCAGAGGAGCTCCAAATGCATAGCAATCAGTCAAAAAGTCCGAGGTTTCTGCAGAGGACGTCAAAACTTCCCAAGAGGAAATAATAACTCATGAAGTACGCAGAATTCACAAATAAGTCCAAGAATTGATACAAATGCGGTAGACAATTCATTCGGTCTCAATCACTTACAATTGTGCCCAGCCAAAGATAAAATTGTTACCAATCAAGCAAAACGAAGACATTTTGCAAAAGTATGCAGATCAACAAATGTAAACTACATGCAGGAGTCGAACGGAAACCAACCTGAGGAAGAACAATATGAAGAAAACGAAGATGAAGAGATCGACCCCTTAGCTTACGCGGAATTAATCTCTACCAACGGTTGCGAAGACATACCACGAGTCATTTCTGAAGCCTTTGAAGCAAAAAACCTAATCGCTATGCGAGAAGAAGACTTAAGCGGCCCCATTATAAAAAAAACTAAATCAGAGAGCATAATCGCAAAGGCAAAATTAGGAAGCCCAATGACCTTCATAAACAAAAAAACAGCGCAAAGACTTCAGACAAATAAAAAATCAGCAAATTTCAGCAGATATATCTCTCCGGAAGACGCGGCAATAAATTTGGTATGCTACAATGGAAAAACAATCCTCCCGAAAGGACTATTAAGAATTGCGATAGAATAAGGAGGCTGGACGGTGCAATTCAATTCATTTATAACTGAAGACGACCAAAAAGCAAACATCACCGGACTCACTATCCTAACAAAAATTGTAATCCCACTTGCAAAAGAAAAACCCAACACAACCAAATTTTTTAAGTGCAAGAATTAGAAAGTTCCAAAAAAAGCTAAAGCAATGGGTAAAAGAAAATTTTTGGCAACTTTGTGTAAGAATTGGAAAATCTAAAAACTTTGTAAGGAAAACGTAATTCATCGAATGATATAAAAAAGTTCAGTCAAAAATGGCTAGTTAAAAAGTCAAAATTTGTCTGAAGAAAGAAAAACCCACCCCGAGCATGAATCTTCCGTTACGTTCGTATCGAAAGTCGGAACAATTAGTGGCATTTTTCTGGTTAAACTAAGCCAACTTGAGTAAACTGTCTGAAAGAAACTCAGAATAGCTGAAAAGTGAATCAAATTATGATTGGAATCAGGAAGTGTAAGTTAAGGCTATTTTTGACTTTTTTCAATTTTGAGATTAGAGAAAAATGAAGCAAAAGCAAAACTTTCCAACAAGATACATCATTACAAAAATTTTCAATTTCAACAAACTACAAACCGGGTGGTTTCTTACAAGTTATACAAGTGAAACAATCGTACGAACAATCAAAAATTGTCTCACTTTTTATTCGAATAATTTGCATTAAAAAATGGGTTACAGGCAGAGGGCAACCCGCGTGTGAGTTCACATAGTTACGCTTTTACGTAATTGTTTTAAACATTCATCTAAGTAATCTTAATTTAATAAAGATTTATTTAACTGAATCATCCATAACTCATCAAGTATCCATAAGTATCAAGTCTGTTTTAGTTGTTTACTTGCCACTGACTTAATTCATTCACATTCATGCACATGTTGATGTTACCAGATATCAACTTAGTTCAAACGAAAATTATTAAACCTTTGAAGGCGTTAAAAGTTATAACAAAAACTTTTGGTTCCATTACCAGTTGACTTTTTAGTTTTCACCAAGTTATCTTACAGATTCAAATTCTGAGTGCTTTGAGGAGTCTTCTGATATTTAAATTGGGTAAATCCGGATCCAGTAAATTGAGACTCTCCATTTTTCAAGCAATGGAACAGTAAACAATTGAACAATTAAAACAAGAAATTACTTGTAGAAATTTGCAGGCTGAGGGAGTCAAAAAGTTGTCTGGATGCCTGGGAAAAATTGTTTTTACTATATACCTTGTCAAAGAGAGAGAATGCGTCTTTGAAGTCAGCTATCTGCTCCTCTGTTAGTTCAGGTACCGTGGCCGCCGTAGCTCCCTTCGGCTTAACCGCTTTGCCATCAGACTTCTAAACAAAACAACCCCTTTCCGTTGATTGATAACCAGCATATCTGAAAACATTTAAAACAACAAGGCTCAAACCCTATACTTTAATCAGAACGCACACACTTTACCATTTTTTTTAAAATTCAGTGGGAAAGAGTTTCGTACCTTTTTGGCTGCGCTCATTCTTTTTGACGTTTTTATTTTCCAACTCGAAAATCGATCGGATCGGTTTCAGGTACAGTTTAAAACCAGTTGTTTTCAACCAGTTCTAGACGTGACAGTCTTGGTTTCTCTTTGCGTTGTTACAGAAATACTTTAACAATCGTGGTTGGAGAAAGCATAAAAGATTGACAGTTACAAAAATGTTTGCATGACTGATGACTTCTGTAAATCATGACACTTTTGACATGGTATTTTGAATGCCTTATGGGACTGAAAAATAAGAATAATGAAAGAGTCCAAAAAACAACATTATAGTTTGAAAATAGTTTTCACTTTTCAACTCACAATGGTTTTATTCCAAAATGAAAAGAATGAAAGGAGAAGATGGCAGAAAAAAACAGCAACACTGACTGAACCTTCAAATAATTAAAGTTTGGGCAGTTTATAAGCAAAAATGACCAATTTATTGATGCATAGTTTGAAAAACTTTTCCATCACCCTGAAAACGCGCGCAAGTTGACTTCGGGTGAAAAATTTCAGCATCTTGAAAAAAGACATGTAAAAAAAGAATAAACACGGTGCAAAACGACAAAGGATGAAACTTTACAAAAACAAAATAATTGTTAAAAACGAGTCGCTCGTCTTTGATGGTCAATTTCCTCTTGTTAATTGTCATCTGGGCGGATTGGCATTAACCTAGTGATGTACAAATAAATAACTATACTTATTTATTTAATATGTACCGCAGGTAAAATGACCTTGAGTGACACGGCCAGTCCGAAATGAGAAGAGCTCTGAACGCTCAGAACACAATTTAGGAGATTATGTTTCAATTATCGGTTACTCTTCATTGAGTTACCAACCTAGTTGCCAATCCATACGTGTTCAGTTAAGACTCATACAATACGGTATGACATGGCGCAGCCAGCGAAGGATACAAAAATCATCTGAGCATTTAACTAATCTGGCAGATGGCAACGACCGAACCATCAGTGGAGTGGACCAAATGAACAGCGATGATAGCATTGGCCGTCCTGATCAGACAAAAAGAATTATGAACTATACTTCATCTTAAGCCACCAATTATAGTACCAACGGAACCCATTTACAAATTTAAAATAACGGTGAAACAGAAGCGGAAAACGAAAACGAGTTATACGAAATCAAGAGAAAAAAGTTGACTGGGAAAACAAAAAAGCAAGAGTTAGAGAGAGAGGATCACTTCGACACAATTTCCCGTGGGACGAAGTAGATACCAAAGTGAGGAGTTATATATTTTTGTGCTTAGGAGCCCAAGGCAAAAAACAAGTACAGCAAGAACGTCCAGGACTTGAGATACACGCCATAACAAAGAAAGAATTGCAACAAAAACTGGAAGACATTTTTGTCACAACGAAGTAGGTCAATTGCTTTCGAGAGGTATAACCTCGTCTGCTGGAAACAACCGAAAAACGAATCATTAGAACAATTCCATGCGGATCTAGTCGAACTAGCGTCACGCGTCGAAAGCAGTGATAGAGAAGATGAAAGGGTACGAGACATAATCACAGCCCATTTGTCATATAAAAAAATTTCCAAGGAACTACTAGCAGAGAGTCAACAAGTGCGAGGTTTCTGCAGAGGCCGTCAAATATTCCCAGGAGGAAATAATAACCCCTGAGGTACACAGAATTTACAAGTAAGTCCAAGAATTGATGCAAATGCGGTTGACAATTCGGTCTCAATCAGTTATTATTGTGCCCAGCCAAAGATAAAACTGTTACCAATTGTGCAAAACGAAGACATTTTGCAAAAGTATGCAGATCAACAAAAGTAAACTATATGCAGGAGTCAAACGGAAACCAACTGAGGGAGAACAAAATGAAGAAAACGAAGATGAAGAGAACGACCCCATAGCTTACGCGGAATTAATCTCTACCAATGGTTGCGAAGACATACCACGAGTCATTTCTGAAGCCTTCGAAATAAAAAAACCTAATCGATATGCGAAGAGAAGACTTAAACTGCCACATTATAAAAACAAAAACTGATTCAGAGAACATTATCGCAATTACAAAATCAGGAAGCTGATTACAAAAGGAAAACAGCGCAAAGACTTCAGACAAATGAAAAACCAGCAAATTTCAGCAGATATATCACTCAGGTAATAAATTTGGTATGCTACAATGGAAAAAAAAAACCTCCCGAAAGGACGATTAGGAATTGCGATAGAATAATGAGGCTAGACGGTGCAATTCAATTCATTTATAACTGAAGACGACCAAAAAGCAAACATCACCGGACTCACTATTCTAACAGAAATTGTAATCCCACTTGCAAAAGAAAAACCCAATACAACCAATTTTTTAAAGTGCAAGAATTAGAAAATTCCGAAAAAAGCTAAAGCAATGGGTAAAATAAAATTTTCAGCAACTGTGTGTAAGAAATGGAAAATCTAAAAACTATGTACGGAAACCGCAATTCATCAAAGACATGACACCAATAAAACAAAAAAGAAGAAGGAAACCAAATCATCTCCAAGAACTCGTGAACAAAAAATTGATTAAATTGATTGATCAAAAATCATCATGAAGTTAAATGAATCTTTGGATAAGCAATTCATCAGTCCAATTGTAGTAATGGTAAAGAAGGATCAAACAGTAAAACTAGTATTGAACTCGAAAAAGCTAAACAATTTTATCAATAAAAACAAACATCAAAAGCCCAAGATCGAACTACATTGACAGTGTTGCACAAATCATAAAAACAAAGGAAAAAGAACCGACACTATTGTCGACACATGATCTTTGCTATGCATATTCGCAAACTCCTCCGGATGGAGAAACAAATAGACAATGCAATTTTAGCCTCATTGGAGGCCATGCCACTGGAACAAACCAATTCCAAATGCGATTCTACGGCCTCACGGACATGCCTACCGAATTTCAAAAAGCGATAAGCCTCACTCTGACAAATTTCGAAAGCTATCAAACAAGAACCCATTGAATACAAGCACTCACACGGCAGAGGAGCTCCAAATGCATAGCAATCAGTCAAAAAGTCCGAGGTTTCTGCAGAGGACGTCAAAATTTCCCAAGAGGAAATAATAACTCATGAAGTACGCAGAATTCACAAATAAGTCCAAGAATTGATACAAATGCGGTAGACAATTCATTCGGTCTCAATCACTTACAATTGTGCCCAGCCAAAGATAAAATTGTTACCAATCAAGCAAGACGAAGACATTTTGCAAAAGTATGCAGATCAACAAATGTAAACTACATGCAGGAGTCGAACTGAAACCAACCTGAGGAAGAACATTATGAAGAAAACGAAGATGAAGAGATCGACCCCTTAGCTTACGCGGAACTAATCTCTACCAACGGTTGCGAAGACATACCACGAGTCATTTCTGAAGCCTTTGAAGCAAAAAACCTATTCGCTATGCGAGAAGAAGACTTAAGCGGCCCCATTATAAAAAAAATAAATCAGAGAGCATAATCGCAAAGGCAAAATTAGGAAGCCCAATGACCTTCATAAACAAAAAAACAGCGCAAAGACTTCAGACAAATGAAAAATCAGCAAATTTCAGCAGATATATCTCTCCGGAAGACGCGGCAATAAATTTGGTATGCTACAATGGAAAAAAATCCTCCCGAACGGACGATTAAGAATTGCGATAGAATAAGGAGGCTGGACGGTGCAATTCAATTCATTTATAACTGAAGACGACCAAAAAGCAAACATCACCGGACTCATTATCCTAACAGAAATTGTAATCCCACTTGCAAAAGAAAAACCCAACACAACCAAATTTTTTAAGTGCAAGAATTAGAAAGTTCCAAAAAAAGCTAAAGCAATGGCTAAAAGAAAATTTTTGGCAACTTTATGTAAGAATTGGAAAATCTAAAAACTTTGTAAGGAAAACGTAATTCATCGAATGATATAAAAAAGTTCAGTCAAAAATGGCTAGTTAAAAAGTCAAAATTTGTCTGAAGAAAAAAAGACCCACCCCGAGCATGAATCTTCCGTTACGTTCGTATCGAAAGTCGGAACAATTAGTGGCATTTTTCTGGTTAAACTAAGCCAACTTGAGTAAACTGTCTGAAAGAAACTCAGAATAGCTGAAAAGTGAATCAAATTATGATTGGAATCAGGAAGTGTAAGTTAAGGCTATTTTTGGCTTTTTTCAATTTTGAGATTAGAGAAAAATGAAACAAAAGCAAAACTTTCCAACAAGATACATCATTACAAAAATTTTCAATTTCAACAAACTACAAACCGGGTGTTTTCTTACAAGTTATACAAGTGAAACAATCGTACGAACAATCAAAAATTGTCTCACTTTTTATTCGAATAATTTGCATTAAAAAATGGGTTACAGGCAGAGGGCAACCCGCGTGTGAGTTCACATAGTTACGCTTTTACGTAATTGTTTTAAACATTCATCTAAGTAATCTTAATTTAGTAGTGATTTATTTAACTGAATCATCCATAACTCATCAAGTATCCATAAGTATCAAGTCTGTTTTAGTTGTTTACTTGCCACTGACTTAATTCATTCACATTCATGCACATGTTGATGTTACCAGATATCAACTTAGTTCAAACGAAAATTATTAAACCTTTGAAGGCGTTAAAAATTATAAGAAAAACTTTTGGTTCCATTACCAGTTGACTTTTTAGTTTTCACCAAGTTATCTTACAGATTCAAATTCTGAGTGCTTTGAGGAGTCTTCTGATATTTAAATTGGGTAAATCCGGATCCAGTATATTGAGTTTCTCCATTTTTCAAACAATGGAACAGTAAACAATTGAACAATTAAAACAAGAAATTACTTGTAGAAATTTGCAGGCTGAGGGAGTCAAAAAGTTGTTTGGATGCCTGGGAAAAATTGTTTTTACTATATACCTTGTCAAAGAGAGAGAATGCGTCTTTGAAGTCAGCTATCTGCTCCTCTGTTAGTTCAGGTACCGTGGCCGCCGTAGCTCCCTTCGGCTTAACCGCTTTGCCATCAGACTTCTAAACAAAACAACCCCTTTCCGTTGATTGATAACCAGCATATCTGAAAACATTTAAAACAACAAGGCTCAAACCCTATACTTTAATCAGAACGCACACACTTTACCATTTTTTTTAAAATTCAGTGGGAAAGAGTTTCGTACCTTTTTGGCTGCGCTCATTCTTTTTGACGTTTTTATTTTCCAACTCGAAAATCGATCGGATCGGTTTCAGGTACAGTTTAAAACCAGTTGTTTTCAACCAGTTCTAGACGTGACAGTCTTGGTTTCTCTTTGCGTTGTTACAGAAATACTTTAACAATCGTGGTTGGAGAAAGCACAAAAGATTGACAGTTACAAAAATGTTTGCATGACTGATGACTTCTGTAAATCATGACACTTTTGACATGGTATTTTGAATGCCTTATGGGACTGAAAAATAAGAATAATGAAAGAGTCCAAAAAACAACATTATAGTTTGAAAATAGTTTTCACTTTTCAACTCACAATGATTTTATTCCAAAATGAAAAGAATGAAAGGAGAAGATGGCAGAAAAAAACAGCAACACTGACTGAACCTTCAAATAATTAAAGTTTGGGCAGTTTATAAGCAAAAATGACCCATTTCTTGATGCATAGTTTGAAAAACTTTTCCATCACCCTGAAAACGCGCGCAAGTTGACTTCGGGTGAAAAATTTCAGCATCTTGAAAAAAGACACGTAAAAAAAGAATAAACACGGTGCAAAATGACAAAGGATGAAACTTTACAAAAACAAAATAATTGTTAAAAACGAGTCGCTCGTCTTTGATGGTCAATTTCCTCTTGTTAATTGTTATCTGGGCGGATTGGCATTAACCTAGTGATGTACAAATAAATAACTATACTTATTTATTTAATATGTACCGCAGGTAAAATGACCTTGAGTGACACGGCCAGTCCGAAATGAGAAGAGCTCTGAACGCTCAGAACACAATTTAGGAGATTATGTTTCAATTATCGGTTACTCTTCATTGAGTTACCAACCTAGTTGCCAATCCATACGGGTTCAGTTAAGACTCATACAATACGGTATGACATGGCGCAGCCAGCGAAGGATACAAAAATCATCTGAGCATTTAACTAATCTGGCAGATGGCAACGACCGAACCATCAGTGGAGTGGACCAAATGAACAGCGATGATAGCATTGGCCGTCCTGATCAGACAAAAAGAATTACGAACTATACTTCATCTTAAGCCACCAATTATAGTACCAACGGAACCCATTTACAAATTTAAAATAACGGTGAAACAGAAGCGGAAAACGAAAACGAGTTATACGAAATCAAGAGAAAAAAGTTGACTGGGAAAACAAAAAAGCAAGAGTTAGAGAGAGAGGATCACTTCGACACAATTTCCCGTGGGACGAAGTAGATACCAAAGTGAGGAGTTATATATTTTTGTGCTTAGGAGCCCAAGGCAAAAAACAAGTACAGCAAGAACGTCCAGGACTTGAGATACACGCCATAACAAAGAAAGAATTGCAACAAAAACTGGAAGACATTTTTGTCACAACGAAGTAGGTCAATTGCTTTCGAGAGGTATAACTTCGTCTGCTGGAAACAACCGAAAAACGAATCATTAGAACAATTCCATGCGGATCTAGTCGAACTAGCGTCACGCGTCGAAAGCAGTGATAGAGAAGATGAAAGGGTACGAGACATAATCACAGCCCATATGTCATATGAAAAAAATTTCAAGGAACTACTAGCAGAGAGTCAACAAGTGCGACGTTTCTGCAGAGGCCGTCAAATATTCCCAGGAGGAAATAATAACCCCTGAGGTACACAGAATTTACAAGTAAGTCCAAGAATTGATGTAAATGCGGTTGACAATTCGGTCTCAATCAGTTATTATTGTGCCCAGCCAAAGATAAAACTGTTACCAATTGTGCAAAACGAAGACATTTCGCAAAAGTATGCAGATCAAGAAAAGTAAACTATATGCAGGAGTCAAACGGAAACCAACCTGAGGGAGAACAAAATGAAGAAAACGAAGATGAAGAGAACGACCCCTTAGCTTACGCGGAATTAATCTCTACCAATGGTTGCGAAGACATACCACGAGTCATTTCTGAAGCCTTCGAAATAAAAAACCTAATCGATATGCGAAGAGAAGACTTAAACTGCCACATTATAAAAACAAAAACTGATTCAGAGAACATTATCGCAATTACAAAATCAGGAAGCTCAATGTCCTTCTTAAACAAGAAAACAGCGCAAAGACTTCAGACAAATGAAAAACCAGCAAATTTCAGCAGATATATCACTCAGGTAATAAATTTGGTATGCTACAATGGAAAAAAAAACCTCCCGAAAGGACGATTAGGAATTGCGATAGAATAAGGAGGCTGGACGGTGCAATTCAATTCATTTATAACTGAAGACGACAAAAAAGCAAACATCACCGGACTCACTATTCTAACAGAAATTGTAATCCCACTTGCAAAAGAAAAACCCAATACATCCAATTTTTTAAAGTGCAAGAATTAGAAAATTCCGAAAAAAGCTAAAGCAATGGGTAAAATAAAATTTTCAGCAACTGTGTGTAAGAAATGGAAAATCTAAAAACTATGTACGGAAACCGCAATTCATCAAAGACATGACACCAATTAAACAAAAAAGAAGAAGGAAACCAAATCATCTCCAAGAACTCGTGAACAAAAAATTGATTAAATTGATTGATCAAAAATCATCATGAAGTTAAATGAATCTTTGGATAAGCAATTCATCAGTCCAATTGTAGTAATGGTAAAGAAGGATCAAACAGTAAAACTAGTATTGAACTCGAAAAAGCTAAACAATTTTATCAATAAAAACAAATATTAAAAGCCCAAGATCGAACTACATTGACAGTGTTGCACAAATCATAAAAACAAAGGAAAAAGAACCGACACTATTGTCGACACATGATCTTTGCTATGCATATTCGCAAACTCCTCCGGATGGAGAAACAAATAGACAATGCAATTTTAGCCTCATTGGAGGCCATGCCACTGGAACAAACCAATTCCAAATGCGATTCTACGGCCTCACGGACATGCCTACCGAATTTCAAAAAGCGATAAGCCTCACTCTGACAAATTGCGAAAGCTATCAAACAATAACCCATTGAATACAAGCACTCACGCGGCAGAGGAGCTCCAAATGCATAGCACACAGTCAAAAAGTCCGAGGTTTCTGCAGAGGACGTCAAAATTTCCCAAGAGGAAATAATAACTCATGAAGTACGCAGAATTCACAAATAAGTCCAAGAATTGATACAAATGCGGTAGACAATTCATTCGGTCTCAATCACTTACAATTGTGCCCAGCCAAAGATAAAATTGTTACCAATCAAGCAAAACGAAGACATTTTGCAAAAGTATGCAGATCAACAAATGTAAACTACATGCAGGAGTCGAACGGAAACCAACCTGAGGAAGAACAATATGAAGAAAACGAAGATGAAGAGATCGACCCCTTAGCTTACGCGGAATTAATCTCTACCAACGGTTGCGAAGACATACCACGAGTCATTTCTGAAGCCTTTGAAGCAAAAAACCTAATAGCTATGCGAGAAGAAGACTTAAGCGGCCCCATTATAAAAAAACTAAATCAGAGAGCATAATCGCAAAGGCAAAATTAGGAAGCCCAATGACCTTCTTAAACAAAAAAACAGCGCAAAGACTTCAGACAAATGAAAAATCAGCAAATTTCAGCAGATATATCTCTCCGGAAGACGCGGCAATAAATTTGGTATGCTACAATGGAAAAAAAATCCTCCCGAAAGGACGATTAAGAATTGCGATAGAATAAGGAGGCTGGACGGTGCAATTCAATTCATTTATAACTGAAGACGACCAAAAAGCAAACATCACCGGACTCACTATCCTAACAGAAATTGTAATCCCACTTGCAAAAGAAAAACCCAACACAACCAAATTTCTTAAGTGCAAGAATTAGAAAGTTCCAAAAAAAGCTAAAGCAATGGGTAAAAGAAAATTTTTAGCAACTTTGTGTAAGAATTGGAAAATCTAAAAACTTTGTAAGGAAAACGCAATTCATCGAATGATATAAAAAAGTTCAGTCAAAAATGGCTAGTTAAAAAGTCAAAATTTGTCTGAAGAAAAAAAAACCCACCCCGAGCATGAATCTTCCGTTACGTTCGTATCGAAAATCGGAACAATTAGTGGCATTTTTCTGGTTATACTAAGTCAACTTGAGTAAACTGTCTGAAAGAAACTCAGAATAGCTGAAAAGTGAATCAAATTATGATTGGAATCAGGAAGTGTAAGTTAAGGCTATTTTTGGATTTTTTCAATTTTGAGATTAGAGAAAAATGAAGCAAAAGCAAAACTTTCCAACAAGATACATCATTACAAAAATTTTCAATTTCATTAAACTACAAACCGGGTGGTTTCTTACAAGTAATACAAGGAAAACAATCGTACGAACAATCAAAAATTGTCTCACTTTTTATTCGAATAATTTGCATTAAAAAATGAGTTACAGGCAGAGGGCAACCCGCGTGTGAGTTCACATAGTTACGTTTTTACGTAATTGTTTTAAGCATTCATCTAAGTAATCTTAATTTAATAGTGATTTATTTAACTGAATCATCCATAACTCATCAAGTATCCATAAGTATCAAGTCTGTTTTAGTTGTTTACTTGCCACTGACTTAATTCATTCACATTCATGCACATGTTGATGTTTCCAGATATCAACTTAGTTCAAACGAAAATTATTAAACCTTTGAAGGCGTTAAAAATTATAAGAAAAACTTTTGGTTCCATTACCAGTTGACTTTTTAGTTTTCACCAAGTCATCTTACAGGTTCAAATTCTGAGTGCTTTGAGGAGTCTTCTGATATTTAAATTGGGTAAATCCGGATCCAGTAAATTGAGTTTCTCCATTTTTCAAACAATGGAACAGTAAACAATTGAACAATTAAAACAAGAAATTACTTGTAGAAATTTGCAGGCTGAGGGAGTCAAAAAGTTGTTTGGATGCCTGGGAAAAATTGTTTTTACTATATACCTTGTCAAAGAGAGAGAATGCGTCTTTGAAGTCAGCTATCTGCTCCTCTGTTAGTTCAGGTACCGTGGCCGCCGTAGCTCCCTTCGGTTTAACCGCTTTGCCATCAGACTTCTAAACAAAACAACCCCTTTCCGTTGATTGATAACCAGCATATCTGAAAACATTTAAAACAACAAGGCTCAAACCCTATACTTTAATCAGAACGCACACACTTTACCATTTTTTTTAAAATTCAGTGGGAAAGAGTTTCGTACCTTTTTGGCTGCGCTCATTCTTTTTGACGTTTTTATTTTCCAACTCGAAAATCGATCGGATCGGTTTCAGGTACAGTTTAAAACCAGTTGTTTTCAACCAGTTCTAGACGTGACAGTCTTGGTTTCTCTTTGCGTTGTTACAGAAATACTTTAACAATCGTGGTTGGAGAAAGCACAAAAGATTGACAGTTACAAAAATGTTTGCATGACTGATGACTTCTGTAAATCATGACACTTTTGACATGGTACTTTGAATGCCTTATGGGATTGAAAAATAAGAATAATGAAAGAGTCCAAGAAACAACATTATAGTTTGAAAATAGTTTTCACTTTTCAACTCACAATGATTTTATTCCAAAATCAAACAAGAACCCATTGAATACAAGCACTCACGCGGCAGAGGAGCTCCAAATGCATAGCAATCAGTCAAAAAGTCCGAGGTTTCTGCAGAGGACGTCAAAATTTCCCAAGAGGAAATAATAACTCATGAAGTACGCAGAATTCACAAATAAGTCCAAGAATTGATACAAATGCGGTAGAAAATTCATTCGGTCTCAATCATTTACAATTGTGCCCAGCCAAAGATAAAATTGTTACCAATCAAGCAAAACGAAGACATTTTGCAAAAGTATGCAGATCAACAAATGTAAACTACGTGCAGGAGTCGAACGGAAACCAACCTGAGGAAGAACAATATGAAGAAAACGAAGATGAAGAGATCGACCCCTTAGCTTACGCGGAATTAATCTCTACCAACGGTTGCGAAGACATACCACGAGTCATTTTTGAAGCCTTTGAAGCAAAAAACATAATCGCTATGCGAGAAGAAGACTTAAGCGGCCCCATTATAAAAAAAACTAAATCAGAGAGCATAATCGCAAAGGCAAAATTAGGAAGCCCAATGACCTTCATAAACAAGAAAACAGCGCAAAGACTTCAGACAAATGAAAAATCAGCAAATTTCAGCAGATATATCTCTCCGGAAGACGCGGCAATAAATTTGGTATGCTACAATGGAAAAAAAATCCTCCCGAAAGGACGACTAAGAATTGCGATAGAATAAGGAGGCTGGACGGTGCAATTCAATTCATTTATAACTGAAGACGACCAAAAAGCAAACATCACCGGACTCACTATCCTAACAGAAATTGTAATCCCACTTGCAAAAGAAAAACCCATCACAACCAAATTTTTTAAGTGCAAGAATTAGAAAGTTCATAAAAAAGCTAAAGCAATGGGTAAAAGAAAATTTTTGGCAACTGTGTGTAAGAATTGGAAAATCTAAAAACTTTGTAAGGAAAACGCAATTCATCAAAGACATGACACCAATACAACAAAAAAGAAGAAGGGAACCAACTCATCTCCAAGAACGCGTGAAGAAAAAATGGAACTAATTGATTAATCAAAACACATCATGAAGTTAAATGAATCTTTGGATAAGCAATTAATCAGTCCAATTGTAATAGTGGTAAAAAAGGATCAAACAGTAAAACTAGTATTGAACTCGAAAAAGCTAAACAATTTTATCAACAAAAACAAATATCAAAAGCCCAAGATCGAACTACATTGACAGTGTTGCACAAATCATAAAAACAAAGGAAAAAGAACCGACACTATTGTCGACACTTGATCTTTGCTATGCATATTCGCAAACTCCTCCGGATGAAGAAACAAAAAGACGATGCATTTTTAGCCTCATTGGAGGCCATGCTACTGGAACATACCAATTCCAATTCTACGGCCTCACGGACATGCCTAGTCCAATTGTCTTTAGATACTTTGTTTTTGTTGCTCGTCTTGTTAGTTTTCTGGCTACATGTTGTTTTTTCTAGAGTTTGAGTCTACTTGTGGTTGTGTTCCTTAAAATCAAGATTTTAAATCCTCCTTTTCCCTACCTAGTAAAGATCTAGTTCTCTCACCTGTTTTAGTCTGAGTCAATGATGATCACGTTTACTTCTGGATTTCTTAGTTTGTCGGCTCTAAGAAATACTTAAAGTGATTCCGTTTGACGTTCACTTCTTTTTCAGACCAACACTGTAAATCGTGCGTTTTTACTGGTGGTAGTGGGGCGTACATCAGACTTTTCCAATCTAAGTACATCTGGGATGGGATACACTCTCTTCTTGCCTGCCGAATTTCAAAAAGCGGTAAACCTCACTCTGACAAATTGCGAAAACACGTTCGCCGTTTTGGATGACATACTAGTCGTTACAAAAAGTCCAAAGTAGAACACAAAAAGCAACTAAGTAACGTCCTTTCAAAACTAAAGGACAAAAACTTAGTCAAGTCAATAAAAAAATGCAAGTTCGCGTGCGAGCCAGTGAAATGGTTTGGCTATCACATTAATAGCGACGGCACCAAACCACTAAATTGTAAAAAAAGACGCTATAGTAAAACTCACACCACCTAAAACATTTAAACAACTAAAAATTTTTATGGGTTCAATACATCACCTTATACGATATATACCAAATCTGGCAAAAGCTGCATCAGCCATCAAATCATTACTAACAAACACAAAACACTAGATTCGAACTCGGATCACAAAACAGCAATCAATCACATTTTGGGTCTGGTTTCATGAAAAAAAAACTGAGAGTAAACATTTTGATCAAAACGTAGAGACCCGAGTGGTCTGCGACGCCTCTACATTCGGGTTAAATGCCGCCCTCGAAAAACTTACCAATGAAGGCTGCGTCGCAATAGCATACGCTTGCAGATTCCTAAAATGTTTAGAAAACGAATTATTTGGTAAATGAGTTAGAAAAGTTAGGGGTCATTTGGGCAATCAAACACTTCAATAATTACTTGCACGGGAAAATTTCACCTTCATCACAGACCACCAAGCTTTGATCTGCGCATTAAACGCAAGTGAAAGGTCAAAAACTAGTCAAAGTAGACTCACTAGATGAATCGATCGCTTGACCGTGTTTAACTTTGAAAAACATTTGGCAGGGACAACGATCGGACTAATAGACTACATGATGCTAAACCCGTTAGGATTAGAAATACTACCCAGTGAACACGACAAAGAATTTGTAAAAGCATCAGTTAACTCATTCTTTACATATATTGAATTGATTGACAACGTAATTCTAAACACACTAACCAACCGATGTGAGCGTGCAAGGAAAAAATAAGAAAAATAAGCACTATATTGGAACCAAAAACGAATTCCGAGCCCTGTACCACAAGATCTGAAAGTTTAGACGAAAGCAATCATTCGATCAAACCTTCACCCAGAAACCAGCAGTCAGCAGAAAAAGCTTCTAACAAAATAAAAAATTCATCAATTGTGCTAAAAGAAACGTGAGCCGGAGAATTGAGAATAAAGGTTTTAAGAGAGGCTTCAATCCAGATTGGTCGCGAGCAAAAGGCAGCGGGAAAAATTTCCAAGCCCCATGAGGAAGACAACAAGAAATCATCTGGAGAGGAGAATCGGATCAAGAAGAGAAGGTATCCGATGATCCCAGATGTACTTAGATCGGAAAAGTCTGATGTACGCCCCACTACCACCAGTAAAAACGCACAAATAACAGTGTTGGTCTGAAAAAGAAGTTAAAGTCAAACAGAATCCATTTCAGAATCTCTCAGAGCCGACATAGTAAGAATTCCAGAAGCAAACGTGATCATCATCGACTCAGACTAAAACCGGTGTGAGAACTAGATATTTACTAGGTAGGGAAAAGGATGCTTTAAAATTTTGAGTTAAAGGAACACAGCCACAAAAAGATTCAAACTCTAGAAAGAAAATACAACAGGTAGCCAGAAAAAAAACAAGACGAGCAACAAAAATAAAATACCTAAAGACATTTGAACAAAATATGAGACTATAGATGAGAAAATAGATAGATTTATACGTCACATAAAGCTTGGGTACAGACTAGAGGAAAACAACCTAGGTTGCTAAGGAACAAAGGATTTGTCTTTGTACCAAACCCGTCTATCTACGGACCGTGTAGATCATCACGATTAAGCGACTATGACGCATACAAGTCTGCAAGACGTACAGGTCCATGTTTTCGTTTTTTAGATAATGATTAGCCAAACGTGCCCCAACACCCAATGTTTAAAGAAGATGAACAAACAGGCCTGCCCAAAAAACTGTCCCGAAAGGAATTGCAATGAAGGAAGACTTCAGTGCCAGAAGGAAAAAAATTGAAACCCGGAAACAATCAGGAAAAACGACTCCTAAACAACCAGATATGGCGCCCTCGCCGAAACGGATAGACGTCAAAAAGACGCCTCCACAAACTCAGCCACAGACATCACAAACAACGCGGATAGGGCAATCAACGTTGGCCAAGGCGTAAGGCAATCCAGTCCCGATAAACAGTATCCAACAGAAACAGTTCAACATTGATTCGTCCGAAAAAACAATCCAAAAACAATATCAATCCAGCAGCATCTCTAGTTTTGTCCACGAAATGAGGCTTAAGGAAAATTCCCCCGAACTTATTGCCTGCATTAAACATTTTAAGACGATTAAACCAAGTGGCAAACAAGATACAATAAGCGTAATAGACCTTGTAACTCCAACCGACAGCCCGAAAAGAGAAACGATAGAGATGACAGAAAAGAAAGAAATCACAAAAAGTCACGAGATACCGGCGACAGACGAATAAAGCAATACGACCGAAGCGCATGAGAAGCAACAATGAAGATGAAAATGATGAAATCAGCACCGACACGAAGCAAGGCGAGGAGGCGCAAGCGAAGCAACACAAAAAACAATTGAAGGAACCCACTGAAAAGCTAGATAGCTAAAAGTCCCAAGGGGATACATGAACTCAAAATTTAAACTTTATCAGTCCCACAGGAACTCGAAACTCAAAAATTTCCTGTTCAGAGGGGGAATGTCATCCGGCAGAATTGGCATTAAGCTAGTGACGTACAAATAAAAAATTAAACATAATAATTTAATCTGTACCGCAGGTCAACTGACGTTGAGCGACAAGGCCAGTCCGTTATGCTAAGTGCACTGAACTCTCAGAACACGATTTAAGAGAATATGATTCAGTTATTTTTTATTCGTCATTGAGTTACCAACCTAGTTCCCAACCCGTACGGATTCAGTAAAAACTCGTACAACACGGTATGACATGAATATTTCGAAACTGCCCCAAAAATTACGGGCTTATTAGAAAAAACTTTTAGGTCCGAAATTATAGTTTTTTGATGTGTACGTAAGTTCAGACGCAAAAAAGTCGAGACGTATTCACTTTTGATTGCTTGTGCTTGTCTGGAACCTAAAGAGGATTCGAATATTGACATAATTTGTAAAAAAAAAAAGCTTTATGATACTCTATAAAAAGCTTTATGAAGCTTTATATTACTACAGTTTCAGCGATTCTGTCGAATTATTGCTTGAAAACTAATTTTTAGCCAGCTCAAAAGACATCTTTTCTGTAAGATGA